CATCAAAAATCAAAGTAAAGCTACATATATCATATCCAAGAGTCGGTAGTTTGCACCTTTTCCAAATTTTTAGAACTTACTTTGCCCCTAGCAGTAGTCGTCTTAAGTTTGAAATACTGACAGCCGATTCCTCAGTGGATGTTTAATTATAATCAAAAGATTATCTCTTATTGTCATCTTCTCAGTGTATTTAATATATGATTAACTCACCACCACCTTTCATAAGATTTATTTATGGCAAAACCAGCTTTTCCTGTAAATCCTGTAAAACCTGCAAATCGTGATTGCAAATTGGGTTGGGTTGAATCTAAACATTTTGTTATTTTGCGAAATCCTAGGAAACGAGACAATTGCAAGCTAACACCTTTTTAATAATGGTTCAAGTTTAATTAATGCTTTCAATCTGCTCACACGTATGAGTTGTCAAAAACCATTGTTTTGAACATGTAAACCTCAAGTAAATGTCAATTACACCAATTTACAAAAGTATTTATTAAATGTAAAAATCAGTACAAAATCAGTACAAACTCAAAAAATCAGTAGATTTTGCGTACTGATTTCGAGCTCTTAAAAATCAGTACAATAGAAAAAAATCAGCACATGTACTGATTAAATCAGCGCATCTGGCCACCCTAGTTGCTAGTTGTGCTCATACCGAAGCCTACAGATCCGGCAATCATAGAGCGAAGCCACACACCATCTGCAGCTTATCATTTTTAACAGCAGTAGTTTGTAGTGGTTTGAGCGGAGGAGGAAATCAACTTTTGGGGCAACTGTGAAGGACATCAAGTAACAAGTAAGAAAGTCTAAGTTCGGGCGGAGCCGAACATTAAATACCCGGCGCAAGTATTAAATATATGTTTTTTCACCTTTCCGAAACCTTCCGCTAGATGGTAAGCCGGGGTGTATCAATTTTGAGTAAATTAGCGTCCTTCAATTTCGAAATATTGAAGTTTCAAGCATTTCTGAAATTTACCGTTATATGAGAAGCGGCCGTTATTTTAGTCCGATTTCAATAATTTTCAACGTTTTGCTTATATGTGGCAAGCACAATAACCACACCGAGTTTGGTACAAATTGGTAGAACGGTTACCGATATACTAATATGTGATCATAAGTGGGCGGTGCCACGCCCATTTTCCAAAGTTTTACCATAAACGTATTTCTTGGTAAAGAATTGTTGCAAGCATCAATTTTGAATAAATTAGCTTCAATATTAACTGATTTATCGAAGATTTTGTATTTCTCTAAATTACCGTTATATGGGATGTGGGCGTGGTTATTGTCCGATTTTAAAGATTTTCAGCCATTTGGAATGTTGTGCGAAGGCCAACAACTGTGCCAAGTTTGGAAGAAATTGGTGCAGCGGTTACCAAGATATACACATGTAACCATAAGTGGGCGTGGCTACGCCCATTTTCCAAAAATTTATAATATTCTTATTTTTCGTTTAAAACTTATTATAAATATCAATTTTGAGTGAATTATCTTCATTAGTTACTAAAATATCGCAGTTTTCGTATTTCTGGAAATTACCGTTATATGGGAAGTGGGCGTGGTTAAAGTCCGATTTCGCCCATTTTCAATACCAACCTACCTTGGATTAGGAGAAACCTACATACCAAATTTCGTTGAGATATCTCAATTTTTGCTCGAGTTATCGTGTACACGGACAGACGGACAGACGGACAGACGGACGGACAGACAGACATGGCTTAATCGATTTCTTTTTTCATCCTGATCATTTATGTATACATTTGTCTATATCTATCTCGATTCGTCTTGGCTGTTACAAACAACCGTTATGTGAACAAAATTAATATACCCTTGTGCACAAGTGCGCTCGGGTATAAAAATGGGGAAATACATGTACGGTGACCTGTTCGGAGCTAAATGGATACGATGCAAGCTAAATGGAAACATAGCATTTCAACTGCTATCGAGAACTCCATATTTATGTATCCTACTGGTTAACGAATGTTACTAAGTTGCATCAATTTCTTACGTTCTATACTTCGCTTCCTTTAAATGTTACCCTGGGGTTGTATCTTAATTTATCAAAAATCTAAAAGCCTCAACAAAACATTACGGGCAACACTTCAAGTTATTAACCTTGACCCCTTTGGTCGCATATGTATAAATGCAATATACTTAGATAGAGGCAGCACTTTTTTCACTGAGAATTTGGTCCCCTTAAATGTTAACCGCAATACACCATCGTTCTTGAAATTGGCCTCAAATTTACTACTCAGATAGCATTATTTTTTTTTTTTTGCGTTTTAAGTTACTCCCGTTCTGCCAGGCAGGGAGATTTATTTGGCCCACTCAACGAGTACAGCGCCATCACCAATTATGTATTTCTGTTATCGTATATCGTATTTTCTATTTCCTTCCTTATGTTACACTCGTTTATCACTCGTTCTTTTGTTGTATCGTTCTATATTCGGTATGTTAATGAAGTATAGCAAAATAACTTCTTTTTGGTTGTTTGTGTTTCCGACAGGGTAGGAGTATGATTTATTGTGGAACGATTTTCCGTCATCCCTTGTCAAATTGGGCACAACGCCGAAACCGGTTTGTCTCCAAACCAAATTTGACAAGGGATGACGGAAAATCGTTCCACAATACATTATAGCAAAATACTTAAATTAATTCTGTTGAATAAAGATATCTTATGATTTGTGTTGTGGATGTTTGCTGGATTTCTAGTTTGTTTATGTAATTGTTGATATAAGTCGATTATCACTAAAGAGTAACTTTCGTTTTATTGATGATTTCGTCTATCATTTGCAGAGCTTTCAGTCCTTCCGCTTGAAATAGTTGTATCATATTGTTGTATTTGCAGAGTGCAGGAAATTTACTTCTAATTGCATCCCACCTAGGGCAGATGTGTAATATGTGAGTAGTATCATATTCACAACTGCAAGTTTCGCATCTATAGCTTTCTATTACTTTTAGTCTCAACATTGTACATTTGTCAAAAGTGTGATTTGATAATATCCTGCAAAACCTTTTTATTTGAGCTGCGTTAAATTTAATTTTCGGCTTATGAAACCAAGGTTTTTTCATAATTTTTGGAACATCGCATAATAGTCTTTTCCTTTTTCTAGAGTTATAGTTGCATATTCTTCTGGCCATTTTTGAGTTTATCTCCTTTCGACTTCTTTAATCGCATCTGCCAGGGTCCAGCAAATGTCTTCGTAATTACCAGTGTGTTCAGCGCTTTTGGCGGCTAAGTCAACAATTGTATTTTGATAAATGTTTTTATGGCCAGGTATATAATATATTTCTACTTCCGTGAGGTTGCTGTTGTTTATAAGTGCTAAAATTTGAATTACAAGGCTATTCGTGCTATTTTTGTTCTGTAATGCTCTCGCTCCAGACTTGCTGTCCGATAAGATAGCAATTTTTCGGAGACCATGACAGGTTGCAAAGTTAATTGCTTTTTCAAAGGCCCAGAGTTCAGCTCTCATTGACGACATTTCTTTGTTGGTGTAGAAGGCTAGTGTGGTGTTCGTTTTTTCGTAATGAAATGCTGCTTTAGTGAGGTGGTCTTTAACAGATCCGTCCGTGTGAAAGATTTATATGTGTTTGTCTCCGAGTTGGTTTATTTTTTCTTTAAATAGTTGACTTATCGTGTTTTCATTCGCTTCAGATTTGTTTTTAATCGATTTTTGAAAGAATTCGGTGTGTATAGTTATTTCTTTTTTGTTGATATATTTTCTTTTAGTATAGTTGTAGTATTTATGATAATGTCCTCAAATTCATGAAATACTTTCGTACAGCTGGTTGAAAAATTTATTTGGTTTTGCATTAGCAGTTCTTTAGCAGGTAGATCAACTTTTAATAATTCTTTTGCTGTAGCAAGTTGCAGTCTGTACTGGAGCGGTAGTTCGGCTGCCATGTGGTATATTACGTGAATAGGGGTAGATTTTATTAATCCCAGACTTTTCCTCATGAATTGATTATTACAGCTTTTAAGTTGATCCACAGCTATTTTGGATATGTTCGCAAACGATGATGCCGCGTATTCAAGTTTTGATCTGGCGAAGGCTTTATATAGCTGCAGAGCCCTTGAGGGTCTTACTCTAAAGGTACATCCGCTAAGTGTTTTTAAAAAGCTACTTCTTTTGTTGGTTTTGTCTATTATTTCGTTTATGTGAAGATTGGCAGAGTTAGTTTTGTGTATGAACCATCCTAAGTATTTAATAGAATTAACTTGTACTAATTGCGTGTTGTGTATCTGAATGTCTAGGGCTTTCCTTCTATTGTTAAAGTGAATAATGTTGGTTTTCTCAAAGTTGATTGTTAGGTCAAGTTGGCCACAAATTTCATTGAATTTCTCCAGTTTCTGTTTTAATTGAGTTTTAGCACCGTTGAAGTCACGGTTAGCCGTTATTAAAAAGAAGTCATCGGCGAATTGGAATAGAATGGTTTTATTGTCGGATAATTGCTGTAATTTCGTTGTGTATAAGTTAAATAGAAGTGCACTCAGTCCTCTTCCTTGGAGTAATCCTCTGTTGATTTGTATGCTTTTCTTTCCAAGGTGTAATGTTCTTCTAGAGAGGAATTCATTGATCCACCTGACTACTGCTTCAGTTATGTTTGCTTCACTTAAGATGATTGTTAAAGTTTGAATATTGACAGTATCGTAGGCCTTA